CACAGGACACCTGTCAGGAAAATCAGATGGTATCAATGGACCGTGTGACTAGCTTGTGTGTTTATAAGATACTAGGAAAAAGGCCCGTTGTGGAAATAAATACAACGGCCTCTAGAAAGAGGCTGTGGGCGGGTGCCCCGGCCTTGGACAGTGTCAATTTGCTGTGGCGACCTCAACAGGGTATAATGACACTGAGTCCACCATTTTCTCTAGAGGAACTGATTTCTGCTACCTAAAGAACAGTTGTAATTTTGAGTGATCTCCAGCTCTCACCTGGAGATTGGCAATGATGGTTCCCCAGAAGGGAATAGTTGGTTTGGAGGGTGGAGTCTATGGCTTTGTACCTGTCCAAGGTCCCACACCTTCAGCCTACCTTTATTTCCCCCTCACTCTTCAGCTTTCTACCCCCCACACACCTGCAGCCTCTCCCGTGCTCTGAAGCCCTGACTGCTACGTCACATTGGCTGTCATATGGGGGCCACCTCAGCAGTATATAAGGATACAGAGCCCACCATTTTCTCCAGGGGAACTGATCTCTGCCATCTGGAAAGCAGTTGTAATTCTGAGTGATCTCCAGCCCTCACCTGGAAATTGGACACATTTTACCTCAGAAGAGCAAAACTGGTTAGAATGTTAGAGGCAAAAGCCAATCAAGTCGCATATGCAAACGACCTCTGTGTTCCGAGGCAGAGGCCAATGAGGCTGCATATGCAAATAACCTCTGTGTTCTGACTGGCTATGGGGGGGAGAGGAAAAGCAAAATGTTTAGAATGTTGGAGGCAGGACTCAGGCAAAGCAGCCAGTGAATAGGGAGACCCTCTGAATGACAGATCAGAGAGCGAACTGATTTTGGAGCGTGTGGAATGTTCTAGAGAAGTGCCACCACCATTCGGCTTTTATTTATAAGGGAGATAGGCATATGTATTGCTCTAATCAAAACAGTTCTCTGCAACCCCCCCCCCCAAAAAAAAAGACAAAAAATCCCCAGACCCTGACATTAACTATTGGGGAGTGACTGCCTCTAAACTGGATTTGCTAAACTTCGATTCCTCACAGCACACTTTGGTTAAAAGGGAGCCTTCAATACTACCATACCTCTTTCAAATTAATGCCTAGTCTCTGGAAATGACTTCTTATTTTTGTACTCTGTGATGGGGACACATAGCTAAGTACAAAACATGCACATAGTTTATCAAATATGATATATACAAGCACATTGCTTGTTGCATTTCTCCTCCAAACACACACAAGCAGCAGAGAGGGAGTATATGGATGACTTGTCAATCCATATATCCGGCACAATACATGCATAGTACATATAACCAAGGAGCTGCTCTTAGATCTATCAAAAGGTAATCCTACAGGAATGCAGCAGTAGTATTATTCTCAGAAGTTCTTATAGCTGGCCTCATCCTACTAAAAGACTCATGTAAACATGAGTATTTCAGCAATTCTGCAGATTTAGAGAAAAACTAACCATGAATGCAGTAACAGCATCCTGGCTGACTCAAGGACAGGTTCTATCTCCAGTGTTAAGAACTAGCCTGATGTGGATGACAGATTCAAGGCCCTTCACTGTGCCCACCAAAAAGCTAGCAATACTGCATTTTAACCATTTCCAAATCAAAAGTGTTCAATCAATCAAATCCTTCAAACAACTGCAAGTTTTCTGTAACGACCAGCTTTAATTCAGCACAATGGAGTCAAGACTCCACTAGGGAAAACAGAAAAAGGTACAGTTTTGTACCGGTTACCTATTCCCAGGGCTGCGTACTCCATCGCCTGTATGACCCACGCATAAAGATTTGGTTCAGAATTATGCTGCATCATGAGACAACAATTCATTTCATTTTTTAGTTAACTTCCTAAAGCCCTTATGGCAGCAAAAGTAAGCCTGGAAGATGGCTAATGAGGAGGAGGAGATGGTTGGGCAGTACCAGTGGGGCCTGGATACTCACAGTCAAAGTGAAATAATGCATACATTTGTGTGCTCTGAAACAGACATGGAATTTTAAAAATCTGTGTAATGTATACATGCTGCAGACTCCAGCTTTTCTGGATCCACAATGTCAGTATCTTTCATATAGAACACTGCTTTTATTTATTTTTAGCACCACAGAGTATGCATAGCCCTGGCTTTTCCGCACAGAAAAAGACACTGCCACATCATATACAATAAAGCATTTATAGAAGTATCATCACTCAGGTGGGTAGCCATGTTGGTCTGAAGCAGCAGAACAAAGTCTGAGTCCAGTAGCACTTTTAAAACCAACAAAGTTTTATTCTGAGTATAAGCTGGACTCCAACTTCGGTCCATCATCATTGTTCAAGAGCAAGATGTACCAAACACTTCTCAACATGTATCTGGGCTGGGATTACGAAAAAGACACTGCCACATCATATACAATAAAGCACTTCTATCATCACTCAGGTGGGTAGCCATGTTGGTCTGAAGCAGCAGAAGTCTGAGTCCAGTAGCACTTTTAAAACCAACAAAGTTTTATTCTGAGTATAAGCTTTCAGAAGAAGTGTAGGTTTTAAAGGTGACACTGGACTCCGACTTCGGTCCATTCATCATTGTTCTAGAGCAAGATGTACCAAACACTTCTCAAAATGTACCTGGGCTGGGATTATCATTGCCACAGGCGATTTAGCTGAATACAGCCCAGGTACTGTCCTGAGAGCCCAACAAGACAATATTGAAAACAGTCAGACCCCACTTTTCAGTTCAGCCTACTGCCATGGCAGAGTACAGCATATCAAAATATAATAAAAACAGCAATAAAATACAAATATTAGATGACACAAGAATTCTCATTAGTGAAAATACCACCTTTTAAAAATGGTTTTATCATAGCCTCAATTTCACAACATGAAGATCTCTCTTGATTAGAAACATGCAGGGCTTTTTTTGTAGAAAAAGCCCAACAGGAACTCATTAGCATAACAGGCCACACCCAATAGCAGAAACTCATTAGCATATTAGGCCACACCCACATGTTACCAGAAG